TTTAACAGAAGAGAGAGTCTAATAAAGGTTATTTTAGGATGATCGTACTCTGAGCTCTCAGTTTAAAAGGTTTTAAGGGTTTAATAAATGAGTTTTTAACAGTTTGAGGCAAATTAAAGGTCAATACATTAAAAAATATATCTTTATTATCAAAGTGGATTGGCTAGGAGACAATACAGATTCAACCCAAGCTCTTACTCTTTGAAAACAATCTTCCTTTAGCAAATATGACCACTATTAATCATTTGAGCTAAAGTGATATATTCCCTTTAATGTTATTTATGTGGTTATCCATAATAACTGTCCGCACATCACTCAGCTAGAATTAATCTGCAAACCTTTAAATATTCAGAGCACATCCAGAAATATAAAAAAGGAAGCGGTCGAATGTAAATCCACACGCCTGTTTTCTATTCATAGCCTGGGACATGACATTGAGTTGGGACAATTTATTTTCCGTGTGATTTCACGTCTGCGGACTCGCAGCACATTCACTCTTGCGAGATTCATGTCTACTCGTACAGCTGTGGTGCAGTTATGGTGATTGCCGCAGGATGGGACGGTTATTTCTCCGCACTTCACATCAGCGCTCGGTCCTGATCGTTCTGCAGCCTGTTCAAAGTCTGAATGAGTGTCCCGATTCAAACACACGAGCTCTGCTGTCGGGGGAAAGAAAAAAAAGTGGAGGCTTAAATTTAGGCAGGACGGACTGAACAACACTCAAGACTGAGTGATGCAGCATGTTCGAGCTATACAATGTCTGTGTTCTTCGTTTTCAATAAATCTTTAAGAGTCTGAAGGAGAAACACAAGTGCCTCTCTTGGTGTTTTGTTCCCTGTTGAGTAACTTTCAAGTATTTTCTGATGCTTCTTTTGTGTTCCAGTCTGTTTATTGTCATGCATGCTCGCTCAGGAACACTTCTGGAGGAGCTGCCTTGAACCGTGAGTTTTTCTTTGATGATTTTCCAGGAAATGCAAAGAAGAAAAAATGCAGCATAAAAGAACTACTGTTTGGTCCACTCTAAGCAAACCCTGGTCCTTGGATATTCAGTACATTCGATGCTGACCCAACAGGTGAACTCCGGTCTGCTTGAAAACAGGGCCTTGGTTTGACTCTATGCACACATGCACGCAAGAGTAGGGGAGACTGGGGACAGTTGCAACAAGGGACGGTTGCAACAAGACTTATTCCACATGCTAGATTGATGACACTGATACTGCAGATGCTCAGGTGGACAGAAGACGCATTTAGCATCATCTTCTGGATTCTTGGTTTTGACTTATGAAAGTTTTTTTGTTTTTTTTTCATGTGGTTTATTTTTGTCATACCGCCCTGACTGTTTGCATGAATTAATCACAACTTAAGTTGTTTCAGTGTGTTTAGTTAGCACATGGTGTTCTGTCTGACAAGCTGACAGCTTGGGGACAGTTGCAACCAAAGCTAGCGTTGCACAATGTGCAGTTTTACATGAGCATCAAGATCTGGACTCATATCTGTAAATCATATCTGAAATATCTGCAGATTGACTCAAAGTAGGCCTATTTTTATACAGAAAGAAACAAAACTCAGTATTGGATATTATATAGATAAATAAATAGTACCATAACATTTTGTATATTAAATTATAATCATAGTATTATCATAAATAATACATATTCTCAGACCAGTATGCTCATTGAGATAAAAAACAAAAGTTGATTTGTGAAATTAAATGGATTTGTGACATGTTGCAACCGTCCAGGATGGGGTTGGTTGCAATCCTTGACTTTTATTATTATTATTATTTCATTTTTTTCTGAATGAATAGTGTGAAAAATCTGTCTTATGTAATCATATTTTAATGGTATGTGGAATAATATAAATAAATGGTTGGTCTCATCCCAATCATCTCTGAGTAACTGAGAGAAAAGCTAAATGCGTTGCAACTGTCCCCGGTCTCCCCTACTAAGTGTTAAGCCAAGTTCCCTGGACTATCATCGACCTTCGACCCCTGTAGTGATCCCCCTGCAGCATCTCTTGGTGATTTTCACGTTAACTTTTGACACACAGCCTTTCAGGATCAGTCCGATGTTAATCGACTGCATCTGCAGATCTGAAAGTTCCCACCAGACAATAAAGTTCAGACAGTGAAGAGTTTAAAGTCAGATTTTAACTCGGGCGCCGCTGACTCCACACTCGACTCTGACTCAGAGTTCAAGTTATACTCCAAGAGCGGTGAAAACGGAGGTCCGTTTAAAGTGTTTTAAAGACGAATGTTTGTATAATGAGTGAAGCAGAAACTGTGTGAGGAGGACACCTGATGACAGTGTAAGATGAGATGATTGTGAGGTGTGTGGATGTACAGGTGGGATATTTTCACACAGAGAAATAGAGTGGGTGGGTGAGGAGAGACAGGGAGTGGAGGATGAGACAAAAAGGAGGAAGCAGGGAGAGAGAGAGTGTGGGCGAGAGGAAGCCCCAGGGAGGTGTTTTGCTGAGGTGTCTGCTGTTGATAAAGTATTAATGACCCCGGGGCAGAGGAGTGCAGACATTTGGGAAGTCCACATCACCGGACCACTGATGAAAGTTTCATGACCGAGCTGGGCTGTGAGCCACCAGCTTAGCAGAGTCACTCCACATTCAGCACAGCCTGTTATTACAGCCGCCGCTCGCCACCACCGGGAGCAACACCACCAGCATGGGCTCTTAATGAAAAGCCGAGCCGAACTCTTCCTGAGCTGCTGTTCACTCCACAAGTCCTCAACCCAAACTAGTCAAACTCAGCAGCTCCATCACAACAACTCAGATATGGGCCTGTGTCAAAAAAAAACTCTATATTTACTCTGACGGTGCCCAAACTTTCGATTCCAGGGCGGCTCTCGCTGCTGTTTCTGTTGAAAAATGTCCTGTGGCACTTCTGCGAGTTCAGAAAAATGTCTCATTTTAAGATTTCACACATTAGAAATAAAACATGAAATTCTGGTAATGAATCAAGAATAATCTGCAATTGAAATTGAGATTAAATTTACGTGCTTTGCTTTGGGTTCTTTTGAATGCTCTTACAAATATTGTTATTAAGTCTTTTAAAATGTGTTGATTTAGAGTCAAACACTGTAACACCAACTTAGACACCCCCTCCAGAGATGAATGTTGCCGACCGCTAGCTTCTCTAGTTATACCAACTTTAGTAACGACCGCAGGATAGCAATACACAGCAGTCTGAGGAGCCATAAACAAACCTCAACCAGAACGCCACTCTATAGCCACTAATAATACTCAGAACAGCACCTAACTTCATCAACAGGACATATAGGGTCACAGCCATAGTACTAGACACCAAACATCTTTTTAACTTTGACTAATTTCTTTAGCAAAGAGACTAAACACAACTCACCTACTCTCCTTCAGCAGCCGCTTGTTTGTAGCAAGACCTCCAGGCGAGACTGCAGCGGAGTTTCGCAGCTCAAGGAAGAACATTTATGATCATTTCTTCATGGAAATACAATCAGACCGAGACGCTAAAGCAGAAGAACTACCGTGTCTGCAGTACAAAATGATTAATATGGTGATTATTACTTCAAGGAAATGATAAAGAAATGATCATAAATGTTCTTCCTTGAGCTGCGTCACCCCGCTGCAGTCTGTAATGGACTGGGTGACTAACTGTGTGTTTGACCCTAAATTGATTTTACGCCGGAATATCCCTTTAAGATGCATCATGAGTGGTAACTTCATGTCCAGCGTCACCTTTAACTCCTATTTTACGGTTTTTACTCGTAATAATAAGATTGCTGAAGATTGAATTTCTGCTTCTGCACCACTAAACTGCTTTGAAAGCCGTTTACATCCAAACATGACGACTCCCAGCTCCAGAGAAGCATTCAAAATCTTCCAAAGTCCCTTCAAGCGTCCAAATCTAAAGTCCAACAACTCATGTACACTCCTCATGTGCCGTCTATGCTGCCATCATGTTTCCCTCTCATCTTCTTAATGACTGAACCTTTAATACCAACCGTCGAGTGACTTCATAAGCCGAGCGAAGCAGTCGTCGTTGGTAAATCTGGACACTGTTGACAGAGAGGAGCTCTTTCAACTCTCTCTGTATCTGAGGCTTACTGCACACTTGCTAATTTATCTCTCTGAATGCCCTCCTCTTTCATTACAGGCCAAACGATTGTAGGGAAAGGCTCTGAGGGTTGAAAGCGCCCTTACAATGACGGTTGTCTGAAAAGTAAACCGAGCTCGGTCTATTGAAGATAAAACAAAGACGCTGTTGTTGTTTTGAGAGCTTTTGCAACCTTAAAACACAAAGAGGATTGTCTGTACAGTGCATTAATCAACCCTCCATTGACTCATCTATTAGTACTAAGTCTGTTTGGCACAGACAGATAAAACTACCAGCCCCGGTTTGAAGTCTGTCTATAAAGCAGAGATGCTTTTTTACGCTCAGTATTTGCATATCAGCACCACAGATCCCACCGCCATGAATACTAACATCAAAATGCTCGATTTGCTCTGCAATTTGGTTTTTTTGTAACGATCTGCCAAGGGTGCATAAACATCAGACTGCAAATGACCAGCAGAGCCTCTTTCATCATGATACAGAGTCGGCTTAATGAGGTTATTCTGCGAAACATCACCATCACTCCATGTGAGATAGCGCACATTTCACTTCTGCAGACTTAATTACAGACAAAAGCATCTCATGGTTGTTTGGTTCAATTCCTATTAAATGAAACAGGAAGAATCCACCGCAGTGCATCACATAATCGCTTTAATATCTTTAAATATCGCAGAATAATTGCAGGGATTCAGGATCAGGAACTCCACCCAGCAAACTGTCATTATTAATTCAGTTTAATGCAGCAGGTTCAGATTACACAGCACAGAGGCTCCCCGCTGTGAACACGGCAACATCATTTGATTTAGAGTCAGCGCAGTTGGTGTGTTAGCGTTGTGTTATCCCTCTGTGCATGTTGATATCATCAGGAGGTGTGTCAGATGAGCAGGAACCCTAATGAGATGTTGCTCTGGGGGAAAGGAGAGACTCAGACTGGTGTTATGTGTTCATGTTAATTCTCTTATAATGTACTTTTTTTGTTTTAATACACATCTGTGTTAACTTCCTTCATTCTGAGGATTTTTACATATAAACATTTTATAGTAATGATCTGAGACTGTTATAAAAACACACACCTGTGGCTCTGATTCAGACTGGTGATCTTGTTAGCAGGCAGACAGAGAAAGTAAACTGGGTAACAGTTCGCTCTCCTTCTTTCTCTCTTATAATGATAATCCTTATTTATGTAACACTCTCCATTACAGGCTAAAAAAGTGTTTCACAGTTTGCAATAAAACTGGTAAAATAGGTGTGAGAACATTTGTTGGTTCTGGTTCTGTCTGAAGGCGGCGGATGAGGGGATTTAAAAGTATGACTGAGATTCTAAAGATCTTTTAAAAATATTAGTGATTTTATATTTCTGAGCTGATAAAACTGGACTGATTAACTTTCTTTCTTTCTGTCTTCCTCTTTCTTTCTGGTTTTCACTTAATTTTGTCTCGTTTCTTTTTTCTATCTTTCTTTCTTTCTGTCTTTTTCCCTGATTTCTTTTCTCTTTCTTTGATTCTTTTGATTCTTTGATTCTTTCTTTGTTCTTTTTTCTTTTGACTCTTTGATTCTTTTTTGTTCGTTGAATCTTTTAATTTTTAGATTCTTTCTGTATAATTCTTTGTTTCTTCTTAATTCTTTGATTCTTTAAAAGGTTTGTTGATTCTTTCTTTATAATTCTTTGACTGTTTTTGTTATTTGATTCTTTCTTTTTTATTCTTTGATTATTTTGATTCTTTTTTTTTATTCTCTGATTTTTTTTTGTTCTTTGATTTTTTATGTTTTTGATTTTTTTTATTCTCTCTTTTGATTCTTTAAGTCTTTCTTTTTTTCTTGGATTCTTTTATTTATTTTTTTTTTTTCCTTCTCAGATTAATTTCTTTTTTATGATTATTCCTTTAATTTTTCTCTGAATTTTCTTTCTCTAATTTTTTTTATTATTATTTCTTTGATTTTTTTCTCTTTCTTTCTCTGAATTTTCTGTCTTTGATCATTTTTTTATTATTTCTTTAATTTTTTTCTTTCTTTCTTTCTTGCCTGCCTTTTTCCCTGATGTTTCTTCTTTCCTTTCTCTTTTATATCTTTGTTTGTTGGTTTTTTTAAAGCAGTAAGAGGAAGCAGTAACAGAAGAATAACTCCACAAACATAAAAACCATCAGTATTTAACACTCTGGAGCAAACATGCAGCCCCCTGCTGCATCATCAAAAGTGTTGGCTATTGTTTTCGGTACAGAAGAGTCAAAACTTCACCATGGGCTCTAAATGTGAGGCTGTTTTTGAGGCCAGACACATGTTTTTATTCAGAGCAAATTCAAGCAAAGAACCTGCAGGCGTCTGCCCTGCCTGAGTGTACTCAGCTGAAAACTCTGTCTTCAGTGCGGACTTTGGCTGCTGAAAAGTGAAGAAGGAATTTCCCACAGGGATCAATAAGTCCAACATTTCACAGTTCATTATAACAATGTAGTGCAGCACCGCGTCCAAGTGGTCCAGCAGAGTTAGCAGTGGAGGAGAGGAGGATGACTCAGACTCATCTCATCCTGTAACATGCAAAGACCGAGCCTCCAGAAAATCATTCCAGTCACTGGAGTTCGTTTGAAGATCAGCCTGATGAGCTTTAGCAGGACAACAGAGCAGATAAGGGGTGACTTTGTTCATCATTGTGAGAAAAAAACACAGTGGAAACCCTGAAACTGCTTATTTATGGCTCTGTTTTCTGCCCAGCGGCTGTTTAAAACGCATCAGTGAGTCACGCTGTTGCAGTGGACGATATGTACTCATTACCAAGCGTGAGTTTCACCAGGAGTGTGTGAGTGTAGTTTCTCTTAGTCATTCCTGCAAACATCATCCTGCTGCTCCAACTATAGAACTGAATGAGTAAACGTCAGAAAGTCACTATTTTCTTGGTATTTATAGACTGGAACATAAAGTGAAAGAGAAGTGATGAATGTTCGATCGCATGGCTTAGTTTGACGGTTTGATCAGGATTCTCTGAAGGGCAGGAACTTTAAATGAGAAATGTAAACTTTTATTTGAACTCTGAGAGGAAAGTTGATTATCGTAACCTGACTACTGCATGACACTCTTGACCTCTGTGAACAAAAACAGTTATGTTATTCTGCCGATACATGTCGTTCATTCGCTGTGAACAAATCATGAGACTTGGCCAGCCTTCTCGCTGGCTGGCTGTGTGTCATTCGCCAAAGAGTCAAAAGTGGCAGTTCCATATCCAAACGGCACGCCACGCTCGCGGCTGAGCTCAGTTGAACTGAGAAATGAACGAATCAGGTCTTGGAGTGATTCCATTCATGTCGTTCACTCAGCAGTTCTGTACTTTTGAACAAATCATTGATGAACTACACAACTCTATCGGCACGGCTTAGTTTGACGGTTAAATCGGGGTTCTCTAAAGGGCGGGAACTTTTTATCAGACATTCTGAGAGGAAAGTTAATGATCGTAACCTGACTACTGCATGACACTCTTGACCTCAGCAAACTAATGCACGTTTTTCTGCAAGAATGGAGGACATGGTCAAGCAAAGCCGCACTGAGCAGGACACCAGGAAGAGCTGTGAGGAAGTATTTCAGGTTCTGTGCAGTAGATGGAAAAATTAAAGACAAAGATGTCGACTTTGTACAAATCCCTCATACTCTAACCCCAGTAAAGGGTACGTCAAACACAAACCCCCATACAAATGAATACATGGTCCTCTGACTGCAGAACCTACAGCCTGATTCCAGCTGCGTTTGGCACATTGACTCCACTTGTCTCCCCTCAAAAAAGGCCAAATACTGTTTGTCCTACTTCCCCTTTAAACATCCCCCAGGCGGATGGTCATATCAGCTCTCAGAGTGTTTAATATTACCCACACAGAAGCACAGTGCACTGGCCTCCTTCCGCTCCAGGTAAGATCCCCTAATTGGTTTCCCATTATCAGGGTTATGTGTGAATTCCAGTGCATTACCTCAACAAACTGTAATGAGATATTTTAATAAAAACTGAATGTAATTGGAGGATCTCACTCCAGCTTAGTCTAACTCTTCATAAATCACTGCATAGTTTCCTCATCGTCATTTTCACATCCATCAATAGAACAACCATGATGCACAGAGCAGTAATAATGTACAAAACAAAGAAAAATACACTGTGTCCATCACAATGAACCACTGACAACAGGCAGACACGTCTCTGCCCAACAAATAATGAAAACAAATTATGCATGTATGCAGCTGGAGGAGACACAAAGCATCATTTAAAATCAATACCACCTCTGGGTCTTTGCACAGAGAGGAGGCCAGCGGGAAGTTTCAGGCCTGATCAAAGGCTCGGCTGAAGCACTCAGCAGTCTCGCCTCTCAAAAGCTTGTTTCTGCATTCTGGGCATCAGGGATCCACAGAGGCAGGCAGAGTCTGGATGCTGAGCAAAGGGCTGTGAAAGCCCTCAGGCATCCTCTGACATTGGGTGCAGCATCTCATTCCTGCCTTCAAGAAGTGGAGGCAGCGTGCAACGTGTAAAATCATCCTAATCATCGACACAAGTTGTTAGCAACGAGAGGATGTTGCAGAATATCTCTTCTGACGGCTCACTGCAGATGGAACATGGGGGTTTAAATCCCAGAGCATGATGGGAAACCCCGGGGTTAAAACGGAGAAACTAATTTAGAGGATTTGCAATAAAGAGGTGAAATATGGGCGGTGAGGAACTTCATGTGTCAGTTTTATCGTCTGTAAAGAATAAAAGTGTATGTTAAAGGTACCTCGAAACAGCTGACAGAGCGTTTGTTTTACTGACTGTTTTGGAGCACCTTAAAACAATCCTGAACAGATCTCAAAACAAGTCTGGTCATGCGCTAAAAAGGAGGAAACAGATTAAAGCTAAAAGATTTATAAATGTGCTTCAAAGTTAAAAAATAGACCTTGAAATTGGTGCTAAAAAACACAAGTAATAAAACAAAGTAAATACCGGAAACTTTGGCAGAATAAGACGGAGGTAGACCGGACAAGAGCTAAAAAGCCGGGTCAACATAAACGATGGGGGACGCTTGGGGATCTTGGTGACCCTGTAACCTTTCTGCTGGACAGGTAAACCGCTTTAACAAAGTAAGACAAGTGTCTGTAACAGAAGTGTTTCTTGTCAAACGGACCTGCTGTAGCGTGTTGTAGCGCCATCGCTAAACTGTCCTCCCTCGGGTCCTGGACTATGTCACTTTATCCTCGTTGTAGAAGTCCTGCAAACATTGTGTTTGCTGGTAGTCTGTTGGCATCTACAGTAGCACCAATGCTTTTGACTTTCACCTTGACTGGGCCCCATTTGTAATGATCTGAAGTATTTATCTGCATTATATCTGAATTTAACTGGAACGATACGAGCGAGCAGGAGCGTCTGTTTGTGGGCGGGGCTTGAGGGGAGTGGAGGAGCTGAGGGGAAAAATGGTTGGGAGGGGTAGAGTTTACATTCAAGATTTCAACTAAAAACTGGAACTTCCTCAGATCCTGACTACACCACCTTTAAGTGTACCTTAAAACAGACTTAAACGCTTTAGGGTCCCTTAAAACTGCTGCTAAAGGGGCTTGGAAAGGCTGCTTTAGAACACAATCAAATAATACTTGAAATAGATGCTAAAGGGTACCTGGAAACAGGGTTTATAGGGTCTTTAATCTGTCAGATTTAATGTACCCTACAAGGATCCTAATGCAGCACAAAAGAAGAAAAACAGAACTTGAAAAGGAAACCAAAGACACAGATTTATGGTGAATTAAAAATGATAGAGATGATGTTTAAGATGCCTGAGGGTTCACTGAAACAGCTCCCTAAAAGTCTGTTATCACAGCTCCTCTTGTGCAAAGACAACTACCTCCTACTGATTCTGACAGCGACCTTTAGCTCAGTCTGGCCACTGTAGTTCACCTCAGTACAGTAAGAACACGTGTTTAATACGAGGGAAAATAACTCATAATAAATGTGAGAAGGTAAGTTTCTAATTTATAGGATAGCAGACTTTACAACAGAATTAAAGGAAAGAAAACAAACACTAACAGGTAGAATCGCCCTCATTATTCCTCATTTTGCTGTAGATGTCTGCTCTATACATTTAAATTTAGTTTAATGTTTTTATTCTAATGCTTTAATGGTTTTCTTGTGTTTTTTCCCCCTTAGTCAGCCAACCCACGCACTGAGAGTTGTCGTCTAATTAGACTTAATATCGTGCCATAACCTTGTTTTGTAAAATAATCCACTCCGAGGCCTCCGAAAACGAGTAAAAGCAGCGATCGCACATGTACGAGCGGCGGAGGTTCAAGATAATTGACCGCTCATGCTTTACTGAAAACTGGAGTCTCTCTCTTTCTCTCAAACAGGAGTATTGTTATTCACACACTCCTCCGCTCACAGTCCTCTGAGGAGCGAGTCTTGAGCTTACAGGAGTCTGCATGTTCTCCTCAGACATGGGAGGAATTAGAGTAGCTTATATTCCACATGGGGATATTGGCGAGAGGAAGAAGAATCAATGTTTCAGGAGACGGCTTACTCCACGCTACCTCAAACAGTAACTTGTAACCGCCTTGGGACACATGACAGCCCAGATTGAAAATCACCAACGGCTCATAAGTAGGCCGCTGTCTGCAGAAGAATAATCAGGAGTTCTCCAGCAGACCCTTCAGAGGCAATCTCAGTCCATACAGTTATGTAAAATTCAGCCCGGGGCTCATTAATTCAAGGTCACTGAGCTGATTCCTATGAATCTGCGCCTCATCTGATTTTCACTTCCTTCAGAGTATCACTCCTGAGAGGGCTTCAGGGGGAGCGGACGCTGAATCAGGTGACATTTCTGTTACAAACGCAGTAGATTGATTCAAAAGGAGCAGAAGACGATGCAGATAGAGGAGCTGATTCTTTGCTTTATAAGGATGAATGAACTTAAGATGTATTCAGCTCATGAAAACTAGACAATTTCTGAAGGAGTTGAGCATGTGAATGAAAACATGAAATCTTCACGACCACATGATCTACAGTTTTTAATCTGCCTCTTTGTAAAATTACAACAAGACAGTCAAGATGAGCCAAAACCAGACTACAGCTGGTGATAAAATTTATATCATGCAACTGGTGCAAAACCCAAAATATGGATGTAAATGAAGATTACTAATACAAACCCCAAATACTAGAGCTGACCCAAAGTGATCGTGCAAACTTGAAAAGCGCTGGTGCAAACCCCAAAATACTGATGAAAACTCACAATATAAGATGCAAACCGAAAATATTGGTGCAAACCCAAAGCAGTCATTTAAACACCAAAAGCACTAGTGCAGCCACAAATACTGCCCTAGCTAACCAAAGATACTTGTGCAAACCTGAAATTTTAGAGCCAATCAATAGTACTTGTGCAACTTCGAAAAGCATCGGTCCAGCCCAAAATACTTAAGCAAACCTAAAATATGGATGCAAACAAAGAATCCTGATGCAAACCATAATACTAGTGCTAACTCAAAGTACTCATGCAAACTCAAAATACTGATGCAACCTAAAACTGGATGCAAAAAGAATACTGGTGCAAACCCAAAGCACTAATTGAACTCCAAAAGCTCCAAATACTTATGCAAACCAAAGATACTTGGTTTGAAATACTATTCCTAACCCGAAGTACATGTGCAAACTCAAAATACTAAGGAAAACCTACATCATGGATTCAAACCAAATATATTGGTGTAAACCCAAAGCACTAATTTAAACTCCAAAAGTACTAGTGCAGCCCCAAATACTTATGCAAACTCAAAATACAAGTGGTAACCCAAAGTACTCGTGCAAACTGGAAAAGTGCTGGTGCAAACCCAAAATACTGAGTTAGAAAGTATCATTTAAAGACGAGTTTGTCGTTCATGAGTCAGGATGAAAATATGTATATGTAAGTCCGAAAAATAACTCTGAAGCAAAGATGACACCGGGGTTAAGCCAGTCTGTGAGGCTGAACAAAAGCTGCTGCACTTTATTCCATCAGGTGTTTTCAGTACGACACAGAGGTGAGTATGACCTGACACAGCATGAAGCTACACAAGGAGGCCGCGCCAGCAACAAGTGCAATAATGGAGAATTACTCTTAACAGAAGACCGACGGGAACGATCAAAAGCAGCAAAAGATATCCATGGAGGACGTCAGCTCAGTAAAGCGGGACTCTCTTTGGAGTTTGACTGAATCTTGTTTTTTTTTATTATAAATCTATAATTTTTGGGGCTCCTCTCCTTCAAGGATGTTTCCCATCCTGCCTTACACTCTCACATTCACAAATAAAAGATGATGAGATGGACAAAAACGAACAAAAACTTGTAGAATTGCTTTTTTTTCTGTCGTGGGATGAACTCATGATACTTTTCGACTTTGTTTTCTCTGAAGTGTAGGTGCAGTGAGCTGTAGCTTCAGCCTACACTTTCCAGGCTGCAGAAAATAACAACTTTTGTTTTCACTGTGAAAGATGTGGTCGTATTTCCCTCACCGCGAAAGAGGGAGAGGAAATCCACATTATGCACTGCAGCATCCAGACGTTTACGACGGACAGAAAAGGAACAAAATGTTAAAATGAAGCAGACGACAGGATTACTGAGGGAATCATTTTAGTGCTTTTAAGTGATTTGACAGAAAAGGAGACGAAAAGGACAAGAGAGGAGGAGAAGGAGGAGGAGAAACAAGCGGAAAAAGAGAGAAACAAGAGGAACTGCACAGCCAGATCTCTGTCAGCTCTGTGTGGGAGAGAAAAAACAGCTGATGTGGTTCCAGGACAAACACACACCCACTACAGCACGTCATTTTACACTCGCGGGCTCCTCGTCTCTTCATCGTTCCTTAATAATTCAGATTCAACTCGATGCTTTACTGTATTTATACTAGTATTTGTATTTTCTGATGGTTTCAAAACTCAAAAGTCTGTGAAAATTGAGGACTACTTAAAATAAAACACATCATCCACAGGTGAACGGGTGAGTACAAGCAAGGATGGAGTCAGGTTCACCACTTTGTCAAAAACTGCATGAGCAAATAGTCCAACAGTTTAAAGACCCAGTCTGGTGAAAATCATGTTTTTCTTGTTGTCTACATGTTCATTTTTCTGATGCTACAGGACATATCACAAGAATTCTGCATTTAAAAAATCTCTGAATCTCTGACAGACCCAAACAGCAGGTTCAGATAGAGTGAGATTTCTTACATCACAAATCCAAGCTCCGCCCCCAGAGCCCCACTATGCAGGCCAGAGTCAGAGAAGTAGAGAGGACGAAGAAAGTGAATTATGATTTTAACTTTCATCACGTCCCCAAAGACATTAATGTCTGAGAGCTGAATAGTTCCTATGTTGCCTGTTTCGTCTGCAAGCTAACTCGAGAACAAATGTGCAGAGCAGCGCTGACTCTGCCCACAACTCAGAAGTGAATTGCTAATAAGCTGCTGGAGCTTTGCAGAAGAAAAGCTCTTGAAATTGACACAGATAACGTGATTTTGGCTAAAAACTTCATAATCACAATTTAAAGACCAATGAGAACACTTTAAGTAGAAAAAAATAAAAACAATAAGAATTTTTTGATGTACAGTTGCAGGACTTTAGAGATTTGATCCTCTACAGGCCATAAATTCATGACAAGATTCAGAGAATCAGAGAAATCTCTGCACAAAGGCAGCAAAGCCCAAACACGTGCCATGTATGTCGAGGCTGTTCTGCTGGATCTGTTTCGCAGTATGCTGTTGGAGACTTTACTTGAATACAAAGGTGAGAGCAAAGGAGGGGCTGAATCTTTATTCTGACCCAATCTAGCGTTCAATCGAGGCTTTGTGTGTCGAAATCAATGAGCATGCACCAAAGGAGAGGCTGCAGACTGCTACTGTAACATAAATACTGATTAAAGCTGGAATAAATTAATCCAAACACAACATATAAGCTTAGATTGGATTAGTACTTTTACTTTTAATAAATGAAACCCCTTTGACTATAGTTTATTTCCAGAGCCGGTGTCTGCCTGGACAAACCGATTTTAAATCACCAGCCCACTCTGGATGGTTCCTGTATAATAACAGCAGTAAAGTGCTGCTTTCTGCATCCAGCCCACAAATCTGTCACATTTGTACAATCTGAGTGCCTGACGCCATCAAGCCTCAAATTGCCTCTCGGGGAGCAAACAACTTCAAATCACACATATTCAGTTGTTGAGGAAGCGTGAATGTTCCTCTCAAAGCTCATGTTTTACTTTGAGTTTCAGCTTTTCCAGTGATTTTATGATCATCACGGTGCCATCAAGCGAACGTGTCGGTGATTGCCGAGCTCTCAGGAAGAATAAAAACATGCTCTGGATGGGAAGTTCAGCCCGGAGTCAAAGAGGCGGTCTGGCTCTGCGGCAAAACATCACATCACAAAAGGATGAAAAAAAGAGAGACAGAGTGTCGACTTTAATGACTGACCAACAAATCAGTATCTGCAGCTCACCTCGATCTCCAAACCGGTCTTTATCTTCTGTCTTATCTTATTGCAATAGGTGGGAAATGTTGTGCAGCAAGGGAATGTTTTCACCTCAACGATGTGTAGGATGAAGGAAAAATTATCCGACTGAGGGTGTGAGCGATTTCAGCAAGGACAAAAATGTGACGGCTTAACATCCAGGTCAGAATACCTCCAGAACTGCAGCTCTGTGCATGTGATACGTTAAAGCTGGACCATGTGAGCTCACCTGAGAGAAGAGCTTCAACATGCAGAGAAAATAAGACTGGTTCAGACAAAAACCTGCATCAGACCAGTAACGGAAAAGGAGAGGGTTTCCACCATGTCATTTCAGCCTGTTGATACCAAACATGGCCGAGCTTCCACAGCAAGGATTTGTTGTGTTTGCACATCTTAGCAGAAAATCCGACCTTCTCACTCAGTCCCCTCCAGGGAAGCACCTTTTTTAATCCGTGTTTTGATACTGAAAACAAGTTGTATCCAAAAACACAGGTAGCCTCAGACCATCATGATTGGTCACCAGGAGATCAGAACACTAATTTGTTCGTGCTGCATGATGATTCGCTCCACTTAAGATTTTTTAACTTGCAAGACACCATGGATGAGGAGATGCTGATTCTAGAAGTAGATTTCCTCCTCTGGAAGGACACAATCTACTGCTTATATGTCTATGTGGCTGTCTTTATAGAGACAACTCGTTATCGTGGGATTGCACGTGAATCCAAGGGGTCTTGTGAGTTTTCACGATTCCCGCTTTCCATAATCTGCCTCGAAATTCGCCTCACAAATAGATCAGGTAGGAATTAGTGAACGGCAAAAATCACTGCCGTTCCGGATGCGGTGGATCTGAGAAGCATGAATTCTGAGAGCTGTGCAGACCTGAAATCCTGAGGCCGCTTCATGAACTGCATCTCTGTACTTCGTCAAACTCCATCAGCCAGATTGAGAAGTTCTGCAGCGATCCAGAGGAACCTACAGCATGACGGACTCTCTTCCTTCATTCTGCATTCAACATCCCTTTGCAGATTTTACATTTTATTCCAAAGACATTAGTGAAGCATTTTCCATTATCAGTTATTTCCTTTAACAATCCGACTGACTTTACATCTGAGCACAAGAACAAGATGTTCTTTTCCCAAATGACACTTCCTTTTAAAAAATGCAATTACAACTGCGATTAGCTTCTGATGTTGGATTGTGTCCATAGTTGGAGCTAAAAGTCATCAGAAAGGGCTTTGAAATGTCAAATCCTAATCATATAGAGAGCAGAATCTCATTAATAAGACAATTTAGCTGATAAAACGGGGAGAGTGGACAGCTTAACAACGTCTAATTAACAAGGACTGCAGGAGCCGACATTCAGACCTTTAGCATCAGAGAGGAGAAATTACATCAGGGAGGAGGCTGTGGGTCTGCAGCTGCACGGTTAGAGAAACAGCTGAGAGGAGGCGAAAGTTTTAATAGGATCGCAGTGTATACGACTTACTCTGCATTTGGAATATTAACATGTTTTCATCTTATCCAGCTGAAATTATCTCCAAATGTTTGTCCGACAAAGAAACTCTGAAAAAAGGATGTAGCTCCTGTTCTGCAAATTTAACAGAACAAAACTCCCTCTCTAATGGTTGTCTTGTTCGATTTTAAAGAGGGTTTAAAGGCTTAATGAACAATTTCCTTCCTCGTTTAGGACACCCAACCAGAATGAATGAACCAATCGCAGCAGCATGCAAATGGAATAAATTCATTAGGCTTCAAAATCAGGCGGATTGTTACACACTTTACCTATCCTCTCTTATCTCTCCATTAGGACTATACATCAATCAAAGCGCAGTGCAGCGTACATACTGATAAATCGGCTTAACTGGGTGTGTATTTTTTCTGCTGGCTCAAGTTTTAAGGGCTGGAAACATCAGTCTCCAGCTCAGGCTTCATCCTCAGACATTCACTTATAAAGTTCCCGTGTAGCAGCGAGCTGACAGAGCTGTCGATACAGAGCAGAGCACATAAGTGAAAACAGCAGAGCAGGTTGTAATCTCACATAAACCTATCACTGTGTGGTACAAAGTGGCTCAGCTGACTTCACTGACAGTGGAGCAGAGCAGCCAACAGACTGGGGTTGTCTGGCGTGACACTATCAGTTATTATCAGCCTTATTTACCGCCGCTGCTGCTGCTGCTGCTGCTGCTGCTACAGTGAGTTTGATGTTTCTGGTCATTTAGAGACAGTGTGGAGGGTCTGCTGTGGGCCTGCGGCGACTCTTCAACTGCAATTTCACATCCTACGTTTGATCATGATTCAGTGACTTTTGTGTCTCAATCATTGGGGTTCATTTTTCTCAGCCTCAGATCTGTTTAAAAGAAGTTTACACAGCTGACACCTGATAAAGTTAGCAGCTAACAGTCCTTATGAGGCTTTTCTGTGACGGTTAAAATATCTATAAATAAATATCTTTATATGTTTATATAATCTGGTGTGTGGTCTGGTGACTGTAGGTGGTGTTTTATTTTGAAATTCACCATACAGTTTGTGTTGTTTGTGTCAAATTTTACTTCCTGTACAGATAGGTCTGCTTTGTTTCGAGAAAGAAAAGAAAAGAAGTAAGAAAGGAAAAGGGAAGGAAGGAAGGAAGTAAAGAAGGAAGAAAGGAACAAAGAAAGGAGATAGGAAGTACAAAAGGAATGAAAATGAAAGAAAGAAATCAAGGAAAGAAGTAGAAACGAATCAAGGAGGAGAGGAAGGAAAAATTAGGAAGGAATAAAAAAAGGAAGAATGAAAGAATGAAAAAAAGAAAGAAAGGAGAAAATAAAGGAAAGAAAGAAAAGGGAAGGAAATAAAGAACAAAATAAAGAAAAAACTGAAGGAAGGAATCAAGGAAAAAAGGAGAAAGGAATCAAGAGTGAAAGGGAGGAAGAAATCAAGGAGGAAAGAAAGGAAGAAAATAAGGAAAGAATGAGAAAGAAAGAAAGAAAGAAAGAAAGAAAGAAAGAAAGAAAGAAAGAAAGAAAAAGAGGAAAAAAGAAAGGAAAGAAAGGAAGGAGGGAAGGAAATAAATAACCAAAGAAAGAAAAAAACTGAAGGAAGAAATCGAGGAAAAAAGGAACATAGGAAGAAAGTAAGGAATAAAATAAGAAGGGAATAAAAAAGAAAGAAAGAAAGAAAGAAAGAAAGGAATCAAGGAAAGACTGAAAGAAATAAAAAAAAGGAAGAACTCTAATCTGTGAATCTGTTAATCTGGTCTTTACTGACAGACGACTCTGACGCTGATCAGATTACAGTAAAAATGAAGGACAGAGGAGAATCTTGGCGAAGAGGAGGACCCGCTGAAACCCGCCCTGTCAGAGTCTAAATCAGAGAAGCGGATCCCTCGCCACATTCTTGACTCTGTCATCCTCCATCTTGACTTTGTCAGCAGAGTCCACGCCGGATTATGAAAACCTTACTCAAACAAAGTCCCTGTTTTCAGCCTCCTCGTGATCTTTTACCTGGATTTCCCTGCAGCTAGTTTTTATTCCTCTCTTGTCAATGACTATCTGCCACAACCATCTCCTCCCTCAGGCCCTCCTCCTCACCTCTCCAGGTGATCCATCACCACTCTGCACCATCTCCCACCTCCATCTCCCTCTTCGCCAAACCACCTCTTGCCTTCACTGTACCTGCTCGACTATCGTAATGAAATCTAAATTACAGGCTGTGTCCTGGGTGCTCATCCATCCAGGTTAAAGCTGCCTGCCTCTCTGCTGCAGCCCTAACGTCCCATTCGGAGAACTCTCGACAGCAGGAGAGGAGCTATTTGGCTGCTTGACATTTAATAAATACATAGCAGGCTGTGAAAGAAGAAAAGGATGGAGGGGAGGAGGAGGAGGAGGAGGAGGAGGAGGTGAGCCACATCACTTATTCTTCATACAGGAGCTGAGAAACTGATGGCTGCAGGCGCTGTACAGAGAGAGAGAGAGAGTGTGTTTGTGATCGAGTTACCCGTAAAAGGAAAGCAGAATGTGTGACCTCTGACCTCACCTGTTCTTGACTCAGTGTTTACAGGAAACTCAGCGGGTAACGCTCGGAGAGTCCTGGTGTGCAGCAACCATTTATTGATTGGATCTTTGTGTTGTTTTGATCAGAGAGGGAGGAGAGGTGTCTATCAGAGGGTGTTTGTGATATAACTCACACCGCAGGAGACAAACCGATGCCTTTAGAAACGTCTAAGTCACAGACTAAACTTTACAGTCTGACAGTGTGAGTCTCTTTGTGGAAATCTGGCAAATTAGTTACTTCAAAACAGCCTCTGATTGGTCAAGAGAAGAAAGACGATAGAAGAAAACTAAGCTGGCGAAAGAAGGTTTACATCGTCAGCATTAATCGCACAGATAACCTTCATTTTTGATGATTGGATAGAAAGTCTCTATTACTGGTCTTATGGGGGATTTTAATGAAAACTGGTGTGTTGTACTGGTCTTATTTAAAGATTATATTTAAGCTAAACCAAGACTTGACATTAATTTTTTTCACATGTTCTCCTAAGTTTAAAATGTTAGGAGCACACAAAGAACTTTAGGAGCACAATAAAAATTGATCAAATAATGTTTGTCTTATTGGTCGACATAAGTATCATTATATGAAATCAGTTTAAGGTCAATTGGTCATGTGACATGGAAGCTAATGAAGGAAAACAGCGAACACCAACAGGTAATTTATTGATGGTCCCTTATTCAACACCTGACATTGACAGCGAGGGTGCGGAGTAGATTTAACCGCGCTGCTGTTGCTATTCCTGGTTATGGAGAGTGAGAAGACACCGGTAAATCCTCAGAGAATGTCCGTCGAATATCCAACCTAAAACTAACTTCACCGCCGTATTTACATGAAAACACATTTATTGCCTCGGCTAACTTTTTTATGCGCACATGTGACCCTAAATAAATTTTATAATTCGCACACGTCCATTGTTAGTTGCAAATGCGAGTGAGACGGTCCCACTGTCGAGCCCTATAAGCAATATTATATTGTATACAACAGTTTTGCTTGTACCACTCCTGTCTTCTGACTCCACGGTCGTGTTTGCACTGACCCCTCTCAGGAAGTTTCACTTTATTGTTTTGCAAAGCATGAAACTTAAACCCTTCAACAAAAAAGCTGCTGAGCATAAAAGCTTCCATCTCTAGTACAGCAACTACAAATTTCACTACATCTGTTAAATAGTTGCTAATTTTGCTGTTAATAGCTCTATGTTTTGACCTTTAATCATCCTGGTTTGGTTGTATGAGAGTTTCTTCAGTATTTCAGAGGGTCCAGTCAACGTGAAAGTAATAAGCATTGGTGCTACTGTAGATGCCAATGGACTACCAGCAAACACAATCCGGTCTACCTCCTTTTTCAGCGCCCGTTATTCCTCCAGAGTCTCTGGTATTTACTTTGTTTTCTTGCCTGTGTTGGCGGTCACGGTCAAAGGAGGATTCAGACAATTTTCTGGTTGGTTTCTACGGTTCGATATTGTAGCACGCTAACTTTGTTTGGACTCGTGAACGACACGGGGGAGCAGCGTCTGCCTCACAACCAATCAGGTTGGGGAGGTGGAGAACAGCTTTGTTTACAGTCAGAAAGAGCGGACCGCTCAAAAAATAAAAAATGTTGAATACAGACGTAACAAAAAACAGCGATATCGTTATATTCCCAAATATCATCAATAACTAAAAACTATTGACTGATATTAAAAGCTTTTTTGTAAATACACCACAAATAAAGATGCTTCTTTAACAGATTCCTGCCTACTCCACCTTGAACCATAAAGCCAGCAGACATGAAAAAGTCAATGATCTGCAGAAAAAAGGACTCAGTAAATCTGAATTAGACCGTTTTCTCTGTTCACTTCTCTACACGTTCGTAGTTCGAGCTTGCTCCGCAGAGATTAACTTTCATGATTCTGCGCCGTATATGAAATACTTCTTCACTTCTCTATATGTTCTGTTACTATAAAGAAAACGTCAGCTACATCTCGCAGGCTGCTTTGGGCTCTCTGGGATTTCTCCACATACAAGAAGACAGCTCCACAGAAACACACAAACATGTTGTACGCCACAGCACAATTTTAAAGTTTCACTTTTACTCAAAGAAGAGTGAACATCATCCTGTATTGATTACACTTCCTGGATGCGTACTGCCTCATTATCTCATGCTGTGCAGCTGAAAAACAAACATGTTGCACACACGTTTGTTCGTTTGAAGACGATAGAGCGCTCTCCTCGGATCACAGTCAGCTCTCTTAGATAAGTACGTGTTTTTGTGCAGGCTGATGATCCGCATTGTTACCGCTAAAGTTCTGTAAAGTGTGTCGTATTTGTGAAATCACAGTTTGGTTTTTGATTGTGCAGAGTCGAGCGAGGAGAGTGGAGCTGCTGGAACAATACGCTGGTTTACCTCCGAGCATCTTTCTCCTGTTAAGTATGTGGAAAACAATGTAAAGCATCAAGGTCTCCCACAGTGATCGGACTCTGGGTCTGAAAGAAATCTATCAAAATACCTTTCATGGTAAACTAAACTGATCTCAAACACTGAAAAAACAAAACACGATTCTTACAAACTCAAAGACAAAGCCTCTGAACCTGCCGTCTCTTACTTCATCTCAAGGTCATGTGATTGAGTCTGTACGTTCTCACAGAGACCTCGGATTCCTGGTTGATGATTTGTCTTTATAAACAAAAGCTTGTAAAGCAGCTGAATCTGCGGCTTTGTCAGGAATTATCATGTTTTTCCTTTTGCTGCAAAGAAAAGACATTTTGAAGCTTCTTTTGTTCCCCTTATTGATCACAGTGATGTTTTCTACATGCGTGTGTTATGGGTCCGAGGCACGACGACAACAATAACAAAACAGACGAGATCTGTAGAGTAAAGGTAGAGGCAGATTACATCTCTTTACTTTCAGTGCATTTCCTCGTCCTGTAAAAACATAAAGCTCTAAAAACCTTAAAAATAAAGTTCTTTTGAACATTCTTCTGTAACTACCTAAAACACTTTCAGTGGACGTACAAACTTAACTTACAGACTACATATGGCAAGTGCTAAGAATCGATCACATGTGGACTTTGCACCTTAGACTGTATATAAACAGGACTCTCAAGTCTCATGGTAGGACTCAACTGAGTTCCCCTGAGAGTTCAGAAACTGCGTGTCACACACAAGTCAATCAAATGAAGTTTATCTACCGAACAGTCATCAAAAAGTATCTTTGCTGTATTTTGATATCCTGCAGTTTGGCTACAAAAGTAGACGGACACTCGCCGAATGAAGCAGGTTTCATAAGGAGATTATTTACAGTAAGATTATTACAGTATCCCGATGATTACAGTAAGTCAGTCACCTCCAAATTTTACTCCAAGCTGAGTTCAAAACTTAAGAGCCGTGTATTAATTAGCTTATCATGACTGTTTAAACCAAATAAACCCGACAAATAGCACATTCTGGAACCATCAAACACATTAAGTCACATCAGCAGCCTTATGATCGGATCAATAAACTAAGTGAATGAAAACTATCACAGAGGGTAACTGTGAGAGAGTACAGTATATATTTAGCGTGAACTGGCGAACCCTCGTGATAACACAGCGCAATCGCAGCTGGCTTTACCGCCATTTAGCTTACTCTAAAGTTACGAAATTCATCCCAACATTACTATCTGTCACTTACAGAAGTGACAAGAAACTGAAAGCTTTCATTTATAGCGACTTCGGTTTGGTAGAATAAAGGTCGAGTCTCAAAGCAAGAAGAAACAGGAGCGCTTGTAACTGTCTGTGTCTGAAATGGATCCCTAACCCCTATATAGGCGACTATATGGGGGTTAGCGCCATTTGAGGGCTGTCCGAAACCTGAGTGATCAGTTCCAATGTTCCAAATAGGCCATTCAAAATTTCCCATAGAGCATTGCAAAATGTAGTGACCATCCGATGGTCACTCACCGGTGGTGGACATCCTGTCATGCCACCAGGGTGCGCGACGAGAGTGACAAAGGTTGATATATTCACACAGGACTACGTCTCATAAATGTTAAATAATACTTGCCTCAATTATCAGAGCATATTTACAAAAGACAAAGTGCTTATTAAACAAAATTACGCCAATTATTCAATATAACAAAAACAAATGTGGTGTCACATATTCAGGTGCACCACACGTGTCTGAACTCAAAGCTTTATTGGAACATGCTGTGCTGCTGTCTTGGCGAGAACACTCTTAAAAAAAGAGTGGCTTTTCTGGTAAAATAAATAACAAAATAAAGGATTTGGATTCATGAGAGACGCACTAACAGTGTCTGAAATGCTTCAGCAGAGACTAAACAGAGAATAACGATCGATTCCTATGAAGTGGGATCTGTTTTGTATTTTTTATTAATGTCCTAAATTCAGCAGGATTGGAGGCTGTAAAGGTCAAAATGTTTTTCTCTCCTATTGTTCACTTTCTCTGCTGTTTTTCAGCGTTTTTCCCGAACGCCACAGGAGTGCTTTCACCTGACAAGCACAGCGAGTGCAGGTATAATAGTCGGTTTGTGCCGAACATTTGAGGGATGGTGCTCCTTTTTGTAGGGCACAAACACTTCAAAATAAAGGTTTTCTGTCCACCTGCGCTCAAACCTTGCAAACACAAAACTCTGTGTATGAGCTGCATGTTTAATAGTTTTATTTTTATATCTAAAAAGTAGGCTTCGTCTTCTCATCATGATCATGTTTTTACACAGCAGATCCATGTTAGCATCTGCAGAGTCTGAGCACACTTTGATTCCTCCTAAATCCTTCATACACACCTTTCCTTAACCCCGGGATGTTTACAATCAGAGTTCAGGAAAAGAGGATAATAAAGGACTTACGGGGTCATCTTTTGGACTCGAGCTGCCAGGTCTTGTTTTCTCTCCCGAGTCTCAGTTGCTGTTTGGCACCCCGCTCTCATGTTCTGCTACAGACATGTCTGGCATGATATTGTGAGTTCTTGAGTACCATGAAAGGACAAAGATGTCATTTGATTAAGCCGATGTCTCTGAATGCAGAATACAAATCCCGAGAAAGGTGCCCTTGCCCTGAAAGGCACAGCGTGGCTTTGCTTTCTCCAGAGACCGATGCTCTTGACATTTTAACCACTCAGTACCACAACATGGAGGACAAACAGGAGCACGCAGGGACTCTTCCCTCGCCCATGCACTTACCCCCCTAATGTGCATGCAGATTGTGTGTCTTTCACTGAGTATTTGTCGTCAGCGGTGCAGAATTTCACACATTTAACAAGCGTAATGAGCGGCGCGTTCGTGGCTGAGGTTATCTTCTGCTGTTCTGACAAAAAAAATAATGTGTTTCTCAGACGAAATTCCTCAAGAATGAGTTTCTCCCTGTTTGCTCTTTGGAAGATCAATGGTTTGTCTTCTTGTTGATCTCTGTCTGAGGACACGCTGGAGAGCGAATTGAATTAATCTTCTTCTAATGCAATTCTCCTCGTAGGCAGGGCGAGTCTCTAAACAAGCGGACGCTGCCTGCAAATATCCACACGGCATCACCAGCAGAGCGGTAAGATGTACGAGGCAGATCGGCTGACAGGGACTCCTCACATGATGAAACCGCCACCTCTCTCATTTTGTTGTGAGTCGGGTGAGAAACGTGAAGAAAGAAACTGATGTTGAGCTGCGCTACATAAATACAGATTACATTTATTAAAAATGTTAAAAAGTTTTCTCAGTATGTTGAAAACCACAGAGTATTAGGGCCACATGAAGAAAAAAATATCAAAGTCAAAGTCAGTAATTTACAAGAATAAGTTATTACTAACGAGAATGAAGTCATAGTAAAATCATTACTAATAAGAATAAAGTCTTAATTAAGTAATTACTTACGAGAATAAAGTCGTAGTTAAGTATTTACTTATAAGCATAAAGTTGTAGTAAAATAATAACTTATAAGAACAAAGTTGTAATTAAACCATTACTTACAGAAATAAAGTAGTTATAAAGTGATTACTAAAATAAAGTCATAGTAAAATCATTACGTATGAAAATAAAGTCGTAATTAAGAAAACACAAGAAAAAAGTCATAATTAAGTAATTACTTACAAGAATAAAGTCATACTCAAATCATTACTTAAAGAAATGAAGTTGTAATAAAGTAATTACGAGAATAAAGTCATTGTAAAATCATTACTTATGAGAATAAAGTCATAATAAAGTAATTACCAGTATAAAGTTGTGTTTAAGTAATTACTTACAAGAATAAAGTTGTACTCAAATCATTACTTATGAGAATAAAGTCATAATAAAGTATTTACCAGTATAAAGTTGTGTTTAAGTAATTACTTAGAAGAATAAAGACGTAATCAACTACTACTACGATACTTATGGCCAAAAGTATAGTAGTAGTAAAGTATCTCCTTGTTTGAGAAACAAATATTAAAGTACATTTTCACGAGATGCTCCATGGCTCTAATTTCACTAATTTTCATCTAAAACATCAGGTTAGAATATAAGGACTTTATCCTGACTTTACTCTCATAAGTGATTACTTTACTATGACTTTATTCTCATAAATTAATGACTTTAATCTCTAAGTTTAATTTTTTTCTTAATGTGGCCCTAATACTCCACCGTAGTTGAAAACATGGGATGAATATTTTATGTTTTATAGTAAAGGGACTGGACTTGGACCCCTTAATGAGCTTTTACACTTCACACCTTAGTCACACATTCACACTAGAGTATATTCATGCACTGATGCTGCGATCTAAAGTGCCCATCAGTCCCATTTACACACACTCACAGACGAACAGATCCACCATGGGGAGCAATCTGCGGTTTAGTGTCTTGCCCAAACATGTGAACAGAACCCGCAGCACTGAGCTGCGTCTGCCTCAACAGTTAGCTTACTGTAAAATGTCTTAACATACAGTCGTATCTTATTTCACTTTGAAAGTACAGTATTATCAGGTCTCTGCAGATTCCCACGCTCTGTAATAATCACATCGTTCCTTGAATATCTGCTCTGATACAAGAAGGAGCACAAAGACTTTAATCTCCTGTCCTCATTATCGAGTCGCCGTCTTTTTCAAACGAAGGAGTACCGGCTTTGAAAGGTGCGTGCTCTTTTAATTTTGCCCTTTAACTCCTGCCAGAGTCCACGGATGAGGAGCTCAGGTGAAAATAGAAAATGTCATTACAGAGGAGCTTTAATTAGTAAAGACAGCTGCAGGTCCAGCAGTAATACTCCTGCAGGCTGCTGGTCTGATGGATGAAAGATGCAGATTAACAGGCGTCTTACATGTGTGAGAGTGAAAGTGAGGAGGAAGAAGAAACAGACTCTTCATCTCCTCGCAGAGTAAAGCTTCTATTTCTAGTACAGTTCAGTTGTTTGATGGGAAACAAAGCTGCAGGTTTGACAGGTGCATGCATGACCAAATCTAAGTATTTCATTTTGCATCCATAAGATAAAAAAGTGAAATTTTAATCAGGTTAAAGAAAATCTGCATGTGTGACTGCAGCAGCAGTGACTCCTAACAGAAGAACGGGACGATCTGAGATTCCTCCATCGCTCTGCAGGCAGCCGAAAACCCCACAGGGTAGCTTTAATGTCTCCTTTCGTTAATCTTAAAAGCCACCTGAGTCTCCTCACTGTTTAAGAGTCTTTGTACAAATGAAACCGCACTGCCAAACCTTTCTTATTATGCCAAACTAAGAGGAGGCTGCATATGAATAAGGTACAGCCTCCCTCAGGTCCACTCCGTCAGTGTCGGGTCTGCAGCAGCTGTTAGCCTGTCAGCAGCTCCGCACTAACAAATGATAGATTAGAGTTTCAGTCCTCAGTGCTTTTTGATGACAGAGGACTCATGAAGTCATAAATATTGACACAACACTGACAGAGGGGTTGCATGTGTGTTGTATGCATTAGTATTGATGCGAACATAATCAATACGGTGTACTTACAGTTGCAGCTCTTGGCTGCCGGCGCCGTAAACGAGCGTATGAGCAGCGGTGCATCATACGAGCATAAAACACGGTTACTGCCGAATATATGGACAATTCGATATGTGTTCAGAAACACGGCTGAAGACACTTTAGAGATGGAGACTCTGCGACACATCATTTAATGAAATCCAGGGACATCCAGGGTTAGCAACATGCTTACTCCTGCTCTCTACCATCGAGTGTATATACGATGGACAACTTGGTTCCGGGATTTATGACCTATACTGCAGCCCGCCAACAGAGGGTGCTGTTCTCGGAGAGGCTTCACTCAGCGAGGAGGCAGACGGCGTCCATTCTATATACAGTCTATGCTCTCTACCTACTCGGCTACTGTAAGAACCGTTGTTCTACACGCAACATTTTTTTGTCATTCATGAAACGCTTAAATCTGGGACATTTTAGGGAACAGCTTTAGCCTGGGACAGGTCATCCAAAACGGGGACTGTCTAGGGGGACATCTGGTCACCTTAATTTAGTGCAAGTTTTTTTTTAGCAGGTTTAGCGAACTTAGCAGACTGAAATTAGCAGTGTCGCCTCTTTTTGACCCACAAAACAGTGTTGTTTTTTCGTCAACGTCATCGTCAACGGAAACAACACTGTTTTATGTGTGTGCGTGTGTGTGTGTGTTGGAGGAGCACAGCGGGCTGATGAGAGCTGTCAGAGCGGACTGAAGCTGCTCCTATATGTTTAGCGTTTGACTGACGAAATGCTCATGAATTTTGCTACTCTGTTAGTCGTCCACCACAAACGTTTTCATCTCGTCTCGTCTCGTCTCGTCAACGTAAACGCACATTCGTCTCGTCACATTTTAGTCATCTAAGACTTACATTTAGCTCGTCAACATCACGTCTTTGTCGCGGAAAAAAAGAGGATTGACAAAATATTATCGTCATCGTCAACGAAAACAACACTGCCACAAAGGCAAATGAGACATTCACCAACTAGACCGACGGTCTCTAAATAGTCGATTTTAATCCCTGAAACTGCTGCAAAATGACGAGTGTCTGAGCAGATCAACTGAAGAAACAGCAAAGTGACTCATTTAACCGTAAAAAGAGCATGAAGACGAGTTAAATCTGTTTGACCTAAGAATTAAAAAGTGGGACGAGTCATTAATAACTTTGGTTTGCGTCAGAAAGTTCCTTCCTTAATAATTCACTCAGTATTTTATGACTCATTATGAAGTCACACAGTTATATTTCATTAAACTCTTTTCCTTTTCCTGCATCTTTAAAACACTTTGATGCTTTTTCTCATCAAATGACCCCAAACAGGAGCTCAATCTTTCACTGCTTTGCACTCTGCACATCAATATATCAATACAACACATCTTGACTGGAGTGCTGACAACAATTAAAAGTGACCTCTGACCCTCTCCTGCTGTGACTTTATTCTCTCTCTCTCTCTCTCTGCATTCACCAAAGTCAGATATGAGGTGAAGTGACGCCTAAGGTGCCACCGTCCTCTTAAAGACTCACCGCAGCCTCTTCATTAATCTGATGAGCCGACCAACGTGACGTTTATGTGAATTACTCTCCGCGGCGGCGTCCTTGTATTTCTGTGCTCGTGTTATAAATTATAAAAAAAGTTTCTTCTTTAATTTTCTTAATTGTGTAATTGCAAAGCTGCACTAACTGAAGGTGAAGTCGCACTTTGAAGCCACTTTCATCTTTCGCCAAATTAAAAAAGGCGTTATCGGGGTCCGGTACGACGGATAAAAGTGAGGGAGACTTAATAAGAAAAATATCTTTCCTGCTCCGAACGTCCTCAGAGGAAACGCACATGGAAATTCCTCTTCAACTTCCTCTGCATTAACAACATCGACAACAAATGTGCCGGCAATAACCCCAAAAATATTCATATATATTCATACGGGGGGTAAAGAGAAGAAATATTCCTCGGTGTCTGTGTTTGGGCTGATGGAATGGCTTCCAGGGCCAGGTGAAATATTACAGCTGTCAGTATTTCTGACAGAGCCTTTATTCTGCTGCCTGCTGTTTGATGGAGGACTGCAGCGAGTTTGACACCCTGCTAAATGTCCCCGCCTCGCCGCCACTCTGGAAGCAGTGATAATGGCACGCCGGTGTTTGGCAACACGCTGCAGCATCACCCTGCTGCATGGACGTGATGGTTTTAGGCAGAGGGGTGCGGAGACAGAGCCGGTTATTATCCCTGTGGGGCAGCTGGTGTTGTGCGCTGGTTATTTTGGTCA